GAAAAAGGATTTTTAAAAGGTTCAATTTTGAATAGAAGATAAGCTCAGCCTGCCTGTAAGGGGTGGGTTAATCTCGTACTCTGTAATAATAGTAATTCAGCCTCCTGAAGTGCTTTTCATGCTAACCTTAGACAGCTGCAAAAACAGCACTGGGCGATAAATCCCTTGGCATGCTTATATACTTTCCCTGTAAAATCGTCTGGGTAGGAAATGGGGCTGGTGAGTACTGTCCCCACCACCAGGCAGCCCTGTCAGTGTGAGAAGGACCTGCAAGGGTGTAAGTATGCGTTAGAGCTGCCCATATGCGTCGCTGGTTGGTAGCTGGAGGAATGGGTTTATCTGTGAGCTGCCTTAGGGCCAGATGTAGGGAACAGAGCGTGTGGGCTGAATCAATGGGGTCTTCATTGTGCCTGATTGATTTGCCACGGACGGGACTGTGGGAAGGCTGTTGAATGCACCCGTCGTGCTGCTGCTGCAGGGTCCACGAGCCATCCGCTGTAGAACCAGGTACTGCCCTCCTCTGAGCCTTTGAAGACCTAAGCTGGATGTCCTCGATGCTGATGCTCTGGGGCACGGCGAGCTGCTGTTCCCCCGTGGCAGCTGCTCGGCCACACTCTGGTTTGTCGCCAGTGCACACAGGGGGCAGTGATTTTTGCAGCCAGCGCTGAATGAGGGAGGCGCCACGCAAGCAGGCAGTACGAGTAGCTCTTGGTCTGAGCTCACCAAGGGAAGACCTGCCTGCAGCTCTCCGCTCTCTCCCTGCTGCAATGTCCCCTGCAGACAGCACAGGCCTCGGTGGTGTCATCCTTGCTTGCCAGGTGTTTTTTCTATGTTTAAGCCTTTCTTGTATTCACAAAGAGCTTTTGGTTTATCAGGTCTGTGCTGATTTCAGATGGCTGTGCTACTTGGTGTTGCATAATTCCTTCCCCGTCACTTTTTCTTGCAAGGTGGCTTCGCTATTCTCTTCTGTAACTAAGAAGAGCTGGCACTTGCTTTCATCCAGCATTTAATACACCCCACATATTTTGTTTTTCATTATCCTTCCAGAAACTGGTGGCATCTGCATTGCCCCACGGCCTTCAGAGGAGAACGCTGAGATTGTTCCGGCTATGGCTATGAGACCTTTCTTTGGAATTGTGCCCGTGCTGATGGATGAGAATGTGAGTTGAGGCTGTGCTGGGTGCCCAAAAGAGAAGCTGGTGTGTGTTTCTGCCTTAATCACCTTTCTGGTGGCAGAGGAACAGGACCCGGAAGGATGTTTGTACCTCCATTCAAATGGTAGAATAGGTGGGCAATTTATATACTGAGCGTATCTCAAATGTCCGTACAGATTGCCAACTGGGCATTGCAAGCTGTCTGCAAATCTCTAGGGGAGCATTTGCATTTTCAGCACTACTTTTACGGTCTTACACTGCTTCTGATTAAGAGCTGCTGCCTCCGTTCATGAGAGAAGTCAGAAGTCACACAGCTCCTGGGAACCAGGGAGCTGAACGGTTGGATGCAATGTCCGGTGACGTGGCAAGGCTGGAGCAGCCAACGGTACTGGTGGAGTTTTCCAAGGGAAATGCAAGGCATGAGGCCCTGCAGCTGTGAGTGTGAGAAAACTGGTGCTGGTCTGTGAAGGTGCGTGGAGTGATCCCCATCTGCATTCCAGTGCTCCTGTTAAACAGTAAAGCATGTAATCTCCTCCATATACAGTTTGATAAGGGAATGTGGCCGTTAACAAAAGCGAAGGTGGAAGGCAGGGGTCCAGGCATTTCCCTGCTAGCCCCATCCCAGGCATCCTCTGGCTGCTCGGCACATCTGTGCTGTCATCTTTGCTGGTATTGCCCTCCGGAGAATCACAGGACTCACTTTTCTTTTGGTCTTAATCTGCTGTGCTGCTGGCCTCAAGGGGTGAGAAGGGCATGACACAGACAGTGCGTGATAGCTCCATGAGTGGATTCATTTTCTCCACCTGTGGCCCTCCACTGGCAGTCTGCAGTGAGCAACAGGGTGACTCTTGCCAGATCAATGACACAGAAGCCCTTACTATTCCTGTTTTGTTCACCTGATCATCCCTCCTGTGCTTGAACCTGCAGGGAAAGGTAATAGAGGGCAACGACGTGTCCGGTGCGCTCTGCATTGCCCAGCCATGGCCTGGCATGGCGAGAACAATCTACGGAGATCACCAGCGATTTGTTGATGCCTATTTCAAAGCCTACCCAGGTAAGGAAAGTGCTAAGGGAAGGCAGTTTGCACTGCAGCGTAAGCACACTGAATATTCTCATCAGCACTTTGTGTTATTTCTGTACCAGCCAGATCTTGGTTGCTCGGGGTTATGGGTGACATGCTGCAAGCGCACACGCTAATGGTCTTAGATAGCATTGACCTTTCTAGCTGTCCAAAGGGAACGTATGTTTTAGAAAATTTTAATGCCCAAATTTTAAAGTCCAGATACCTTTTCTTTGGGGCCATTTGTGTCTCACTTGGATATAGGAATATTGGATGGGAAAGTACCTCCTGCATCACTGAATCTCACCCCTGCTGTCCCAGGCTGTGTTACATCCTTCCTTTTTAAAACACGGTCAAGTTGTATCTGGCAAGTAATTAGAAATGGCAGGGAAACCCTTTTTGTAGGAGATTGGACAAGAGTACTGTCTTCACTCAGGGGAGCAACTGAAGGGGATTTGAAAGCTACAAGGTAGACAAGAATTAGAGAGACAATCCTGCGAATTGTACAAAATGGGTTGGAAAATAAGAATGGGAAACTGGTAGAAGTTGAATGAGCTCATAGTCCCTTATTACTCACTACATGTTTGCGTCTGAAATCTTGTTGATAGTTAGTTGATAGTTGTTTAATTGATTTGGAAGGGCAGCTGGCACGACTGAAAGTCTATGAAGTGGCCAATAATGGGTCCTGGCAAGAACCACCTTCAGATTTCACAGCATTAGCTGCCTGCTGCTGCTCAGGAGTGCCACAGGAACAATTCAGATGAGGACATGGCTTTGATGAAGAGCCAACACAATCTGTGTCACCAGATGCGTCCTCAGCGACACTGGAGTTTCCTGGAACCACTGGGTCTTTTTCAGTTTCCATCAAATGTTTTAGACGCTCCAAACACCATGCTTATCATGGGGGGCAGGTTTCAGCTAATCCGATAGCAGTATTTCTGCCATGCTCATACACTGGAGAGGGACTTTTATCTGAGGTCTGAATCTTTGTTAGCCAGGAGGGAAAATGGCTTTTCATCCATCCCAGTGTAAGTCATTAAAAAGAAATCCACGGTGTTCCCATGTACAAAATATAATAAAACTGCTCCCTTTCAGCTCAACAGTTGTAGTTTTGCATGAGTGCTGAGGTGTAGCTAGCAGCAGACCTCAGTAGCCTACGGCATGCTGGCAAATGGCATTTGAAGTGGTTTTATCTTAGTGCTGTATGTACCAGGCCTGAGCGCGCAGCGGCTGTGCAGCTGTAGGCGTGTAAAGCCTTGGAAGATCGGAGACCGCCCCCTTGGTTTTGTAAATCCAACAAAGCATCGCTGTGCTGCGTTGCTGGACTTGGTTTTGCTACAGGGACATCGGCCACTGGTTGCTGCTGATTGCCTACAGTGATTTTACCCATCTGAGCTCTGCTGTCGTGGTGCTGCTGTGGTGCTTACGGGGAGCCAGCGCAGCCCAGGCAGCGCAGGCGAAGTTTGGGGATGGCAGAGGGACGTGGGAAATGGTGTGTGGCAGGTCCTGCAGCCCTGCGAGCTGCCTGATCCAGCCCGCCCGGCTCGCCATCCTAGAGCATGGACTCTTCTGCACAGGAGCGATAGGCTGGCACGCTTCCCGCTGCTGAGCACCCACGTGTCTTTGCTGTAGGTTACTACTTCACAGGGGATGGTGCTTACAGGACCAAGAAAGGCTATTACCAGATAACGGGGCGCATGGATGATGTCATTAACATCAGCGGACACAGGCTGGGGACGGCAGAGATAGAAGATGCAATGGTAAGTTCCAGGCAGGTAGAGGTGCCTTGACAGGGCACATCTGTGGGGCAGGATGGCCCTTAAAAAGAAGTTTTATGAATTTAAACAAGCACAGGGTCTCTTGCCTTCAAACCCCTGCCCCTGTATACACAGAGCTTAGCGTGTAATGAATACCAAATGGGCAAAAGGAAAGAGCTCCCTTATTAAAGAGACAACGAAAGGGCAAGTGAGAGAGGTGTCACACCGTGGGCAGTCCCTGCACTCGTGCTGTCAGAGCTGTGTTTCCTCTCAGTGACGTTGTACTGTTGCAGTTGTAATTTTGGATGCTGGTGGACTCTCCATAAGGGATTGTCTCTCCTGTTTGTTCCTTCCTTTCTGCTAACACCTAACCTCTCCTTCCCAACTCTGTGGTTCTTGCTCGTCCAAGCTAGCTGAGTATGCCTGAGAATTCAGGAGTGTTAAATATGAAGCAACCTTGATTCATGGCAGCTGCAAAGCTAGCCTGTCATTTTGAGAGAAAATAATATTAGCTCAGGGAATTGAAAACAAAAAGTCCTCAGAGCGTTTATCTTCAAAGCTTGACCTGAATATTTATTTCTGTTATGTGCCTTGCCTGCAAATGGCACTTAAATGTAGCATTTGATAAATCTGAGCTGTGTTCGCTGGCACACAGGATCCTACTTTTTCCTCTGAGTAATTTTTGAATCTGTGTGGGTTTCTGATTGTAGATATAGGATCCACTCCCTCTCCCACTCTATTATGTGTATACCTGTGTATGCCTATATGCAAATATATTTATATGTTCAGATTGCTCTGTGATGTCTTCATTCATATTTTAATCTAATTGAAGATAGCATAATCCAGTCTTTAGTGGGGGATTCAGAGATGTGATTTCTTCCGGTCTGTACACCCAAATTGTCTTCTTACTGCGGAAGAATGCTAAATTAAACTCTGAAATGTGACAGAATAAATCACTGTTGTGTAGCATAATAATAAAAAAATACATTTGGCAAAACAACCCTTCCCCCTTCCTGGGAAGATGAAGCAGCCTGATCTTTCTGCCTTTTGGTGTGCTTTGGGCACTTATAAAAACCAGTCAAATGTGGACTGTGATGTTGGCAGTAGCTTCACTTTTGCTCTGCTGGCAACAGTTCCCTGTGGCAATGAAGGACTGGTTTTGCTTGTGATTTGGCCGTGGCCATTCACCACTTGGGACCGTAGCCATGCACACACAAGAGCACAGACAAAGAGAAAGGAGGTTTCCAGCTGGTGCAAATTCAGCTTGGGGTGCAGTGGGCTTAGCAGTGTATGTGAAAGTACTTACATGTATTTTGAAAAGCAGGGCCAATCAAGTGAGGAAATGCTACTCCCAGAGATGTGGCCATGCCCGTTGCCACCAGCTTTCCTGTTGGGCTTTCAGCAGGATCTGCCAAGGGGAGGATGAGATATGGGGTGGTGTTTTTTTCCTAGAGCAACTGGCACAAACTCTGCAGGGCTTGAAGCAGTTGTTATGCTCTGTGTATTTTTGTTTCACTTTTTGTGAAGGCTGACCACCCTGAGGTCCCCGAGACCGCTGTGATTGGGTATCCACACAAGATCAAAGGAGAAGGTATGTGAAAAGCAGTGTCCTGACGTGACACCTACATACACTTTGCTTAATTTCTAACCTGGGCTCCATGTTAGGAGGTGCCTAGGGAATGGGAGGGCAGTTGTCATTAGGCTGACTGATGTTGCAGCCCCAAGAGGCAAAGACAGCCATGAAAATAACTGCATGTTCCTAAGCTGTGTGCGGGTGTTACTCCCCTAAACTATTTTCACACATAGTGTTAATGTATGTGGTAGAGCTTCCTTAAAAAGGATTGAGCTCAGAGATGTCCTTTGAACAGAATGGGAATAGCTGATTTGCGTTGGCCAGCTTTTGACTCCGCTGACACTTTGGTAATTTACGTTGAGTTGTCATTGTCACTGAGATCAGCCTGGTCCATAGATTCCAAGACAAGGCTGGGCCATCATTTGAGGGCTGGAGTCTAACTCCCTCTTGTAAACAGGATCTGTGGTTTTCTTGGCAGTCCCTAGATTGCACCTAGGAATGATCTAAAACCTGCCTTGGCATTTGAGTGAGCATCCCTGGTCTTGCCAGCCAGGATCTAATACGAGGTATGTGGCTTCTGCTCTTTTGTCTTCCAGGTGCCTTTGCTTTCATAGTGCTAAAGGAGCAGACAGCTCATATAGACCGTGTCAAAGAAGAACTCAAAACCATAGTGGCTTCCAAGATAGCAAAATATGCTGTGCCTGACCACATTCTGGTAAGTGGGAGACTGTAACTGGGACCAGGAGCAGGAAGGGTCGCGTTGAGCAAGACTCACCTTCCTGCCTGCGGTGCTGCTGTTGTCCCTCTCTGGCAGGACGAAGAAGCAGAAAAACAGAACTAGCAGGAGGGATCCCTAGGTAGGGGAGGGCATGTGGTCTGCATGTGCTCCTTCTGCATGCCTGAGGATCAGCAGTGACCCAGGGGGTCACTGGGGTATTACAGCTGCTCCAGCCTGCAGAGCAACTTCTCGGTGGGGCTGTTACAGAGCGTGTTTTGGAGCTCCCCTGAGGCTGCTCCGTTTGGGCCAAGTGCTGAACAATCCTTTAAGTGGGATGCGCAGAGAGGGTTGAGAGCACCATGCTTGGCCAGAGCTCTGGCAAATGGGAACCCCAGGCCAACCCTATGTCTCAAGATGCACTTGATGTCCCTGTTCACCCTGCAGCAGCATCACTGCCCCGCACGGCTCTTGCCCTCAGCTAACCCCCTGCTGAAGCAAAGTAGCACTGCTCTCTGTGGCACTGTGCAATGGATGAGATGAACCCCCACCAAACTGTAGAGAAACGCCACAACCTTCAGTGTCACTGAGAAGCAGAGGGACACTTTCCACTGCCCAGCTCTTTTGTGTTGGTGATCGGAATCAACCCCAGATGCCAAAGCATGGGCTGTTTGTACTGCATAACTCAGACAGCTCTTCAGCCTGAACCTGGGAGCTCTGATGACCTCCAGGCTCTGTTTCAAGCCTCCTCACCTTTCAGCATCTCCCTTTGTGTGTTTGGGGAGAGTGCACAAAACTGCCCTTTAGCTGTCCCCCAAAGCCTGTCTGCATCCAGTCCCCTCTCCGCATGGAGGCAGTGACCATGCCACTTCTTTGAGGGGCTCTGTTTTAGCCACATGCTAGGAAAGTGGACACGAAGGCACAGGTTACAGAACACACACAGGAGCAGGCAAGGGTGGCTCATTCAACTTGGAGCAGCTCAAGCCATCCTCAGTGGATCGGAGCAGCTCCCAGAACTTTCAGGTTTGCAAGGAAACACCTCTTGTTTCCTTGTGTTTGGGGGTAGTCCAGCAGAGAAGTTCTGCAACTCTTCCCTTCTACGTTAGTTAATGCTTTGGAGTTTTGTAGCCTACTGGCCTGATCATGTAACAAAATGTGAGACGTGCCTAGTGTCTCTGTTCAGTGCCTGAGAACTCTTTACCAGGCTCCAGTTTACGCTAAAGCCTTTGAATCTGCTGCTAAGTCCTTTGCAGGAAGCGTAGCCGAGACATTTAACATTCTGGTTATGGTTATGAAGGAAGGCGTGTAGGCTGACAGATATAATTGGACAGAGGGAAACTTCAGCAGACAGGAGTTGTTATCCCTTGAGTAGGAGACCCTGTAGCTGGCGTGCAGTATTGTGTGCTTTATATTCCTGCCCTGGAAAGAGGAATATGAATGTCTGTTCTAGTAATGTGTTGAGATCATCACCGGTGCCTGAGTTTTCAAGTGTAACTAGTTTTCTAGTTCAATAGTTAACAGCTTATTCAGGACCTGATTCTCCAAAGAGCTGTGCGTCCTGCACCACCCGGCCTGGAGATAGGCAGCAATGAGTAAATGGGGAACAAAGTCCATTTAAATAAGAATAAAATTTATAGCACGAGGAATTGATGTTAGTGACACTCCTTTCCTTGGATATAAACTAGTGTGCTCAATGGTCTAGTATTTCCCAGAAGCCTTAAAGGAGCTGTGCCCATGAGGTAGCGTGCCAGTTTTAGGACAGTTCAGCCAAATTTCCCTGTGGTTTCCAGCAGGACCCAAGTTCTAACATAGGTGTGCCTTTCCCTTCTCTGCAGGTGGTGAAACGTCTTCCTAAAACCCGATCAGGGAAAATCATGAGAAGGCTGCTGAGGAAAGTAGTCACTGAACAATCAAGCAACATGGGAGATGTCACCACACTTGATGATCCAAGTGTTGTCAAGGAGATACTGGATGCTTACCAGAAATACAAGGAGAAGAATTCCTCATAACAGGCAGCTCTGAAATCTCTCTTCTCTGGAAATGTGAAAGGTCTCAAATAACCAGGCAAACCACATAGTTCTCTCTTGGCGTTTTTGTTTTTTTTTTTTTTAAAAACTCTGTTCCCTTCTAGGGCAACAAGATTTTTCCACTCCACAACGTATTTTGAGATGCACAGAGCTAGGAGCAATCTGCAGTTTTGCACAGTCAGTGAGCTCCCTTTCATTGCTTTTAGGGCTGTTGCAGAGCAGCTATTGGTGGTTTCCATTAGCTATGATGAAATTTAATACTAGCTGAAGCAAGACCCAGACGTTAATGTTTTTCATTTTAATGTTACTGTACAGGGAAATGTTTTTATACAACACTTTTGCTGTTTTAAAAAGAAGTCCTGGGGTACACTTTTTCAATTTTTCCTTCAGCTTGGATATCCGAGTTCAAGTAGCTGTATTTCACTGCAACTGTGGTGCCTTTTCAGCAATGCTGGTTATTCTGGTAGATGCTTCACATGTGTTATTAGGGAAATAAGAAGGACATGGCGAGTCTGATAATTCTTTCTTGTGTTTACCCAGTTGTTCTAATACCTCCTTCAGCTTTCCTCATAAGGATTTGTTCCTACCACTATATGTCATGGGACTTGCCAGAGATGGTGAACCTGTGTCCCTTCATGTCCCACCTAGGCAACCCAGCACTAGCACCTGCAGCAGCAAAACTGAACCACAAAGTCTACCAGTGGGCTTTCTACGTGTCCTCAATGTGTTGCCAGTTGTGTAGGAGGGGTCTGGTCCCATGTATTTCTATTCTGCCTTGAGAAACTGAGATCACCAATTGCTTTTTTTAAAGTAATTGCCCTCTTCCTCGTCGGTGATGACAATTGGATCATTGTGGTTCACTTCTGCATATTAGGAGCGGTGGTCCACAATTGGTAGATCTTTGTTGCCAGTTGGGATTTGTGTAGGTGCCTTTGTTTCTTAAAGTCGCTATGAAAAGGGATGACGTTTGCTTGCTGTCTGTCAGAGAAGCATTGGGAAACAAAATCCTGAAGTGCTCAAGAAAAGTTTGAAGCCGAGAGAGATGTGCTGGAGGGTTCATTGTGACTTGCTGGGCTGTGTGATTTCTGACCAAGAAATGGTTATTTTAGCCCACTCCCAAATGGCCTGTCATCTTGTTTGCTCCAACAAAGACAGCACCCAGTTTGGAGGTAGGTTGGTTCTGCTGTCAGAAGTTATGACTTAATCCTTATTGTTTCAAGTTGGGCCTTACCACGTCTGCCCTTTCTGCCTGCTGCCGTGCTGATCTTCCAAAGAGTTAAGTGCCAGGTGGGTGCTCACAAATTGCACAATCCACAAAGAAAAAGGAAGTGCCTCTTAAATGCCTTCTGGAAAGCGTGGTAGCATTCCAGACCAGCAACGTCAGAATAGCAGGAAATAATAGCCTTTGTCTTTCATATGCTTTCAAAATTGCAACTAATATATTCAGTGTTTTATTTCTGGACTCGTTTTATCATTAACGCATTTTGATTGAAGCACTCCTTATATTTGGGCTGTTCAGAAGAATTTGCTAGTAAGTATCCTGTCCTCTACTACCCCACTGAAGAGCATGGAAAAGCCTGTAGGTGCCGAATGCCTTTGAGAGTTCTACCACTGCTAAATTTGGTTTAAGCTGGCTGAGGGGTTCAGAGTGGTTGGAGGGGCCCCCAGAGCATGCCAGGAAGGCATGGTAGAGGACTTCCCTCTCCCTGGGTGCAAAAGCTCAAGGTATACGCCAGTGTAGTATGCACAGTGCTGATCCTGGGGGTGTGTGCCGCAAGGGCTCAGGCAGAACTTCTCCATCTTAACCTGCTGAAGCCAAGTGACTGCGAACCACCGTTCCAGCGCTGTGGCTGCGGTCACTCCATCGAACCTCGTAGTCCTGCCTCTGTCTTTCTCAGATGACAGTCTGCTTAGTTTCATGGAGCTGTGTATTTTGGCCTGCCAAACCCCTGAGTAATTGGCAGAATCACCAATTTTTGCTGTAGTTTTACAGGGGTTACTTATTGCTGAATTTAACTGGAGCAGTGCTGCCTTTTCTAGTGGGACTTGTGTACTGGGAACATAATCCCTTCACCTAACTGGAGGCAGGAAAGGCAGGAGGGAAATGGCTAGGTGATCCTGTAGGACTGAGTGGTGAGTTCTTTGGCCAGCAGAGATTCTGGTACCAAACGGGCAAGCAGGCTACTCGCAGTACAACGTGTTTTCAAAGACAGGCATGTTGTCTTAGATCCCAGAGTTCCTCTGAGTACACTAGCTGCATTTGCTGTTGGTTGTTTGGTTTTTTTTTAAAGTTTATTTTAAACGTCTCTGGGGACTGGTTAATACAGTAGGGAATATCACACTTTGTTAAAATTCCCATCCTTCTGACTGCAATCCGTTTTTGCTTAAGGTAAGTAGACACACTGTGGACTTTGTGGGAAGTTGAAGATCAGAAGGTTTGATAGCGTTGACAGGATGTTAATATTTTAGGAGACAGCTACTACATATATCATCTATTGCCATCGCAAAAGAAAAAAAAAACAACAGTTCCTTAAGTGATTTTCAAGTGGGAAGCAGCCAGGAGTTAATGCTTTTGACAGAATAAAAGTAGACTCCCTTCTTTAAATTAGTTGTCTCCACACAGTCTGAAATACAGTGTGAAGGAAGAAGAATGACTTTTGAACAAGATTACACACTTTCCGTTTAGTCAAGAAAGCATTTCCTATATTAGGGATATAGAATTTCCTTGTCCTGTTGACCTGAAATTTCCATGCTAAGGTGTGACCCAGTGGTCTAATTCATCTGAACTTGTCTCACGAAGACTAGCTGTGTGAGGAGCAATGTGCATTGAGACGTTTGTCATACTGTTCCTCTGCTCAGGAAAAATGGGAGATAGGTGCCCTCCCTCACCTGCATCCCTGTTGGCTCAACTGGCATGGGCTTAAGGACCACGGCAACCAAGGAGGTTACAGACTGACCAGGTAGCTGCAGCACTGCAATAAATTCACAGCCATGGCAGCTGTGGTGTGGACAGACTGTAGTTACAAATAAGCCTTATACTCTGCAGTTCTGAAGCCTTACAAGCACTTTTGCTAAAATCGCATCACCAGCACGTGCAAGATTAGAGTGCCACATGCCTGCCATAAAATACCATGATGGCCGCTCCGTTTCTTCCTTGCGCATTTCCACAGCTGAGCTGTGGTCCTTGGGATGTCCATCTGCTCAGAGGCTGCCTTGGGGTGTTCAAAGAGAGCGCGTGGCGCTGTTGTGCTGCCCACATGGTGTTCTGCAGTGGACACGGCTCCTGCTGGGCAGCCTCAGCCCCCACCTCTCCTGGTGAAACTGTGCTTCGGCAAGTATACCAGCATCAGCTCTTGGAGCTGACACCCCATGCTCAGTTCATCTAATACCATTCTGGTAGAAACAGAGCTAGGCAGGGCTTGGGAGGGGTACTTCTTGCAAAAAGAAGAATACTGTGCTTCACTGGGTAGGCTACTTACAGAAAGCTTTGCCAAATAGCTGAAATTTTTCAGCCAGAGAAGTCCCCCTTGCTTCTTTTTCCCCATGATTTCCGCTAACTGCAGCGGTTGCATGTTCAGTGCAAGCCTGAGTTGAGCTTTGCATTTTTGTTATTCCCTGGATGTCAGGAATATCAGCACTAGTGCTTGGCAACAGTGCTTTCTGCTTCACCTCAGCAGACTGAGGTCGTCAGTTCCTGAAATTCTAGGAAGGACGCAGCTTGTGAAAGACACTGGGTCTGCAATCTTAAGAGCTGATCTTCACTAATCTGTGAAGGAGGTAATGATATATGGAATACTTTACAGTGGGATCACGGCACAAACTTGGGGGTCATTACTTTGTTTAGAACTGTTGAATTATTCTAAACCCTTGTGTGTCCATGAGTGATGTGCAGGTTATTTGCCAGATTGCCTTTGTAGCTTCATCAGAAGAGATCCAGAGTCAATTTTACCTGTTGCAGTTTGTTGCAAAGCGCTAATGTTCTTGCTTTTTATCTCACTTGCTTTTGCCAACGAGACCCAGTCATGGTGCCTTTTCCCCCACTGGAAACATGGACCACGTCTTTCTTAATTTTAGGAAGGGAAAGTCCCTCTTTCTAGAGATGAGTTGTGTCTTGTACAGTCTAATGTTAAGCCTTTAATTTCATTTTGGTTTTTTGTAATTGTGGTTTACATGCATTTATTGTCCTCGACCAAAGCCACTTACTTCAATGATCTCTGTATTCATATTTTCATTAAATGAAGTATCTTTCTCTGTGTGATTGGTTGGCTTTGCATCATCCCCTTAAGGGTCTGGGACTTTTTCAGTTCTTTTGAGCTGCTTCTGCCTGTCCTGATTATTTTAGTCTGCCAGCACAGACCAAAGAAAGGCAAAGGAGTTGGAGATCAGGATGAGTCATCTTGTGGTCTGAATTGCTGTTTTCCTTTGCTGCTTTTCTCTAAACTGTAGCTCACAGGAAATGAGTTACTGCCAGAAAACTGCCACTGCAAAACAGCTCAAAAAGTTGAGGAACTAGCGTTTGCATGTCAGTAAGCTGCATGTCTCCTGTAAATCCTGAGGTCCCAGTGCTCTACCCTCCTTTTCCTATGTGATGCAAACAGAGAGAACAATTAATTACCATTAGTTGATATGGACAGTTCAGCTACTAATCTCCTTGCCTTGTGCACAGTGTGCACAAATAGAAAAGGAGTGGAAACAGGATGCGTGTGGGAAACATGAGAGACAGCATTGGGTAGACAGTGAGTGTGTAGCTGTCCCAGAGCAGAGCAGATGAAAGAAGAAATTTGTTTCCAGGTGCCATGGATCATTTTTAAGTGCCAGGAACACATCCTCTGCAGGGCGCCTTGTCCATTAAGAGGTGAGGAAGATTGTGTTTCACCCTGTGCTTACCGCATGGGTAACACTAGAGTTGTAATGCAGGGACAGACGCTGAACATCCTCATTAGCCACTTCTCCTGTTACCTCCAGCAGCTGCTTCTGGAAGGCTTCCAGTGCCACTCTTGTTTAGCTCTTGCAACCCTCTGGCAGGCGTCTCTCACAAGTCACAGAATGGGCTGGATAGAAAGGCAGGTGCCCATCTCCTCACTTTGTGATTTGCTACTGCAGCTGCCCTGATTTATTTACTGAGAATTTATTGGTAAAATGGAGACTGT